ATGGTTTCTAATCTCAAAGTAAAACTAGAGGGGTGTGGGATGATCAGGAATGATAGAAAACATAGCTTTTTTGTGGGGGTGTTGACAATTCAAACATCATGCTTTGCCTTTGGCTGTGGAGACATCACAAATTAAAGTTGTATCCTCAAATTTCACTTGTACCAAAAGTTGGGAAGATGACCAAATTATATTTATATATATATATATATATATATATAGAGAGAGAGAGAGAGAGAGAGAGAGAGAGTGTGTATGTGTGTGAGAGAGTGTGAATGTGAGTGTTTAGTTGGAGTTTGATAGTGAGAGAAATGGTGAGTGTGATCACTTTCATCTGGTAGCAATTGCTTAGGGTTTTGTGACAAGAATGGAGTTTAGGTTGAAGATTGAATGGACTATTCCTAGTCCTACTTAACAATAACAGAGAAAGAGACACAACAAAACACTCAGACTGCCATTCAGCTACCTGCACTGCCCACATGCCAGAAGGATACTATCATCCATATTAATTCATTACCACACACATTCATTCATTCATTTATCTCTCGCTCTATATATTATATACACACACATACATATACATATAGACTTGGGATCACGTGATACCAGCTTGTTTTCGTGATACCCGTAACACCACTTTTTCATACTTGAACTTCACAACAAAATGTTGTGAATGTAACATTTACAGTGTTTTTGTTGTGAAAGTTCGATTATTTTTACTTTTACAACGTTTTACTGTGAAGTTTCAAGTGTAAAAAAAATGGTCTCACGGGTTTCACAAAAACAGGTTGGTCTTACGTGAACCCAACCCTATACACACCCATGCATATATATATATATATATATAGGGTTCACGTCAGACCAACCTGTTCATGAAACCCGTGAGGCCACATTTTTACACTTGAAACTTTACAGCAAAACATTGTGAAAGTAAAAAAAAATCTAAACTTTCACAACAAAAACATTGTAAATGTTACTTTCACAATGTTTTTCTGTAAAGTTTCAAGTGTAAAAAAATAGTCTCACGTGTCTCATAAAAACAAGTTGATCTCATATGATCCTAAGGATATATCTAATATATTGTATGATTATCTTGACTCTCATCTCTAACTTGAATTGGGGTCCTTCCAAAATTAGGGTTTCACAATGTCATCACCTTTTCTCATAGCACAAATTAATTAATAAATCTACAAAACTGTAACACTTTAAGTTCATTATTTACAAGTCAAAACATATCTCTCTCCACATATATATATATATATATATATATACACACACCCACACACACATATAATATATATATAGAGGTGTGTTATTATACAACCTCTACCATTTGTACAACCAATACAACTCAATCTCAACCATCTATTTAATTTGATGAATATGTAATTTCATAGAAGTTTTGATTGTTTTCTAATATAAAGTATTGATCATAATTAATGAACCATATTCATTTTCTATAAATATTTAAATCATAATAAATGAACTCTCATCATTTCCATAAATATTTCAATTTATTGGGTTGCATTGGTTGTATAAATGCAATGGGTTGCATTTGAAACAAACTATATATATATATATATATATATATATACATCACCTGTTAGTATATGATTATTGACAGTATATATACATATTTTGATGAAATTTTGGAGATATCATACTGTAATCTTTTGTCTGAGAAAAAAGGATTCCATACAGCAATATTATTAAGCTGAACTTGGTGATCTTTTCTCTGTGAGAAAGCATAATTGATCAACTTCCAGTTTACCTTCTCTTTAATCTTCATTAGTTTGCATCAAAATTAGGGTTTCACAATGGCACCAGTTTTTCACAGAGCTCAAATTTATAAAAGGTACAGCTTTAAATTAATCCATCTTGTACAACTCAATTAAGCACTATTAAGCTGCTGAATTTGGTAACCCTTAATTATTTCCTTAGAGAAAAAGGATTCTTTTAACCATAAAATATTTATATACCACAAATTGCACTCATAAATATTTCTTATATTTGATGTGATTAAAACTGAATCTCCAACAGATTCTTTAAAATTAAGAAAACATGAATTTTAGATAATTTTTTTACTCCAATATATATTTTAAAACTTTCTTGAAAATTTAGAAAGTAAGAAATAGAATGTGAATTTTTTTTCAAATGTAAAAGAATTTTACATAAAATAGGTCAAATAGCATGAAAAAGTCATGTACTTTAACGTGATTTTTATTTTGAGTAACGTATTTTCAAAACTTTCATTTTGGTATCTAAGATTAAAGTTTTAAACATTTAAGTACCTGGGTAACCAACCGGTTGAAAACTAATTTTGGATTAAAAAAAAAGAATAAATTTTAGACTAAAAAAAATCCATATCACTAACCATGTAAGCAAATAATATTGAGTAGGATAGCACATCACTTGCCCTATCAGCATAATAATCGGTTAATGCTTCAACTGGTTACACGAGTATTTAAATGTTTAAAACTCTACATCTTAAATATCAAAATGGGTGTGAAATGACTTTTTTGTTAGTTTTTTAATATATTCTATTCACTTTATAATTATAACTGATGTTGTAAAAAAAATAAACAAACAGAACCTACAAAATGGGTTATTGCAACAATTACCATTGTAAAGTTTTATGTAATTTAATGGGTTGTTTGGCAGTTACTTAATGGTTTGGTGCAGAATGATTAAGTGATTAGAATGTTTAAGAGGTTCTCATGTTAGTGCAAAATGAAGTATAATTGTTTGGTAATTATTTACAACAAAATTAGGGCGCTGAATGGTTAATGGATGGTCAGGATACAAAATCATTCAAAAAGTTTTAGAACCATTAAAAGACAGATTTTTTTTATCAAACAAAATTCACTTATTAACGATTCAAAAGTTGTCTCTTAATGAAACTATTAAGAGATAAACAAAAACCTTAAGGTTATGCAATTTACAAAACTAGGGTTCACATATATGCCACACCTTTTACATGGTGAATATATAGAAATTTACAACCTTAAGAATAAAATATATAAATTCTTAAGACTAAAAGTTTATTATATAATAAATTAAAAATTATATAAATTTCAAAGTTATAGAAGAATTCTTTAAATATGTCATTAGCACTAAAACTAGATGTTAGCATATATATTCAACCGGTTATCCGAGTACTTAAATATTTAAAACTTTACATTTTATGTATGAAATTGGAAGTTCTGAAAGTACGTTAAAGTTAAAGTACGTTATTTTGTCATGCCCTATTTGTAACATCAAATTTGGTATAATGGTATTTCACTATTTAAAACATCTCCAAAAACTATATTTAATAAAAGATTTAAGAGATTTTTATGCTCCAACAGTTATATTATAATAATAAAAAATTAGCGAATTAGAAGAGTTTTATACTCCAACAACTACATTATATTATATTGGATGATATAATTTATTTCTAGTTAGGTTTAAAACGATCTTATTTGCATGTCATCCGAATTCATTCGGTGTAATTTGATTTGATGTGAGATATATATATATATATAGACTTGAGATCATGTGAGACCAATGGTTTTTCGTGAGACCCGTAAGACCAATTCTCAACCCTTAGATTAGATCTATAATCTGACAATCTAAACATTCATAAACGCCACAAGATTTCTTAATAATTACCAAATTGCCACCGTGCAATTTAGACCGTCAGATCATTAACTTATAAAGTTGA